TGTTAATATTATAATTACATGCAAATCTAACAATGAAAGACTACCAGACTGGAATCGAACCCTGCCCATCAAAATAAAAGGTCGGGGCTCTAACCACTGAGCTATTATGATTACAAAACATCTATATATGCTCAAAAATTATAAGCTGCAGGCTTGGGCATAGAGAGTAGGGGTAGAGCTTGCCAGCGAGTGCCGGAACTCGCCACGGATTGTTTAAACTACTTTTCAATGTTGATATAATATGATTAACTTGTTAATAACATAACATGTTAATACTGTAAAGATGTATAAGTTTGTTAACACAGGCTATATCAATGTATTTATACAAAAGAAAGATTTAATGCTCGGTATCAAATAGTTTTTTCGACATAGCGTCACTAAATCATGAATAAAGAGATCAAATTGTTATAAAGATTAAGTATAGCAATGTCAATGATTATAATATACCATGCTCATCTAACGAAGAGAAGTAGAAAACAAAAATGGTTATGACTGGATCGAACTGCCCGGCAAATAGAACTCTGATGCCCTAGCCACAGGGCCAGCATAAGGTCGATATTGAGTGTAATGTAGATTTGGTTTTTACACTACATGCTTGGATACGCGCCGACTGGAAGTGAGCTTCTATTGAACATTGATACCTAATAAAAATGATACTATGATGATATATATGTATTTGAAGCATTTGCAGGATGTATATGAATGAATGTTAATGAGTTAGCATGCAATTTCAGTTATCCTAACTGCAATAGTCATCAAAGTGTAGGCATTGTAAAGTGATACGACTATGTTTAGCATCACACTACATAGAGTACGCTACACACACATACAGAATTTAACGCGCCAAATGCAGGCAACACCAGCAGTTTGCTGGATACGGAGTGAGCCTTTTTGTCATATGGATGACTGAGGTCATCTGCGAGCAGATGCTGTCACCTAAGCAGAATTGTTTAAAACGAATTTCCGGAGATATCATCTGGAAGACAAGATTTCTAATGTAGTTCTATAAATCTAATGTCATTTGTATACTATGAATTTTTGATTTTTTTAACATGCAGACAGGATGCAAGAGGACTGACGCAAAGCAAAACACGATTTTGGCGAAAACGTATAAAAATGAAATAAGTGAGTGCATTTTTCATCTGAAGGATGTGGCCGCCATCTTGAATTTAAGCGCGCAAGTCACTTCATCAGTTTTCAATTTATTCATTATTCTTTCTAAGTTTTTTAATAAAAATATTCACTATATACAAAAAATTGTTGGTTACGGATCAGATCCGGCATTAATTCCTCTGTATTGGTACATATTGTATGAGAATAATGGTAAATTGGCGAAGAAATTAGAAATTTCCCGATCCCATGTAGTTGGAATAGGGGAATCATGTGCCTTTCTCGACGTTCAGCCCAGCCGTTAGAGTGTTGGTCTAAAATTGCGACCAAGACCGAGTTAAATGGATTATATATTTATATATTATTTTTACAAAATTTTTTCAATCAGTAGGAATTCTTTATTAATATTTTTTTTACAAAAAACTTAAAAATTAATGATATGAAAAACATGAGTAATAAAAAAAGAGCATTTTTTCAACTTTTGCTTTAAATTTGAAATAATAAACAAAATAAAAATTAAATAAATCATTATTCTTTGAACTTTCAATCCAAACTTCCATGAATGAAAAAAAGGAGTTGATAAACTTTCATTTAGAATTATCAATTTCTTGCTTCAAACTACTAGCATCTTCATCGTCTTCTGTACCATTAACATCACCTTCTTTTTTATTAGCTTTTTAAAATTACTAATTACTTAAAATAAAGTATAGTACATGTCGAACTCTTGAAATACCTCTAAATGACTGAAATCTTCTAAATTTTGTACTGAATATTGTTTCTCGAATTTAAAATTTGAATCGAGTTTAGAAAAACAAAACAGGAATTAAATATTAACTGAATCATTTCAACTGAAGATAAAATAAAAATTATCATGGAATAATCGGTCAAGTTTAAATTTCCTCAGCTTCCCTAGGGTGACCCCGACAAACTGGGCATGTTATCCTTTCTTCTTCTGCTTCTGCTAAGGCTACAATAATTTCATAACAGTTTCTACATAAAACTGCATGTCCACATGGCCGGAATCTATAAAATGGGTCCCTTTCAGCACACGCTAAACAGATATCATCAGCTCCGAACCTGGGTGCTGAAATATGAAAAAAGTTTATTACCGATGAATTTGATACAATACATATATAAATTGATATTATAACAAATGTGTTTTAATATTTACCCAAAAAATTACTTTTTTGTGTTGAAACTAATTGTCGTGTGAACTAAATTGAGTAATAATAAAAATTTAATAGGATCTTAATTTTATTTCTCTTCAATATATAATTTATTTGTGTGAAAATTTATTTTGTTTTTAAAAAAATATGTCATTAATGAAAAAAGAGTTTGAAATAAAAATTATATTGAAAAAAAACCTGTTTAAAAAATTTCATTACACGATGGAAGAAACTAACTTCATTAGAAAAGTTAAACTAAGCGTAAATTAATGATACAAATAATATATTTTATTTTATTTATAATTACGATAATACTAGAAGACTGTGTTACTGATAGTCAATTAAAACACAAACTAACTGAAGAAATAGCAAGTAATTCAGTAACTTAAATGATTGATGAAACAAAAAAGGAAATATATTGAAGAAAAATTCAATTTAAAAGTAAAGTATTTTTTTATTATTTTGAATTGTGTAATTGATATTGTAAAGAAATTAACTCAATATAACTTGATGTGGTATATCTCTAACGATAAAAAATATCGATATAAGTAATTGGTTTTGAAGAAAATTATGCTCCATTTCAAGAAGATCAATCTAATATTTATTTTTGGTAAGTAAAGTTGCTATTAAACAGTTCAAAATTTAAAATCATATAAGCATTTTTAATTTTTGATTGAAAACAGTGTAATTACTGTCATCTATTAGAAAACAGTGACACTAGTTGAATTTTTTTCTACTATACCGACGCAAGATAACTTACCAGTCCTAATTTTTTAAGTTGACTGCTCAACGAAATGATAAACATTAAAAAAAGAAAAATTTTTATAATTTGATTGAATATTAAATGATTGAAAATAAAAAAAAGCAATTTTAAAAGATTAAAAGAATAAAGCTTATTTTTAAAATGATCATTAAATAAAAAATCTGGGCATCATAGAATTTGGTTAACAATCAGTAAGATTATACATTTAAAGATTTAAATTTAAAAGATTGTAAAAATGCCTTTGACTGACATCTTATTGGGGACGGATGTCACGCTCCCAAAATACCGACATGTTGACCGAAACTCCGTCCGGATTTTTAACACAGCATTGGACTTCTATGGTGGTCTCTCTTCTCTGGTCCGACTATACTGGTCTCTCTTCTCTGACGTAGTGTATAAACTCTGCACCAGCGCAGAAATGGAAATTGAGAAAAACTTCTACAGTCTAAAAAAAGTTTAATATTCTATACGTGTACAATAAATATAAGATGAAATTTTTTCTATTTACCATGAGTATTTATTAATAACAAATAGTTTGGTATTTAGAACTTAACGCAGTTATTGACTTGAAAATTGATCAAGAAGTTTGTTCTTTCTATTTGAGGTTATCATATAACTAAACAATGGAACGTGAAGGTATTTTAATCATGATAAAAAATTTAACAACTTTTATTTTCAGTATATAATAGTTTTATTGTTTAAATTTGGTTCTTATAGAAATTTGTCAATATTTTGACGAAATTATAAAAAATGAAAAAGATATATCAGCAGGGATGGCAGCTATTCGCACTCTTTTGAAAATTCTGGAGTTATCAAAATGTAAATGCATTTCAGATATTTTAACATTAAATATATTTAAGCTTATTTTAATATTTGCATTTTAATATTAAATATTTAATAAATTTTTAGCGGAAACTGTTCAAGAACTTCGTTATTGTTTACAAAATGCTATTGATGCAATGATGTCTCTAGATTACCCTATAACTTCGATAGCATCTGGCTGTGAACTTTTTATCAGATTCATTACACTTGCAAGTCTTGATACACCAGTAAGAATGTTTTACTTGGAAGTTATTTGTAGTAACTTTTGGGTTAATTTCTTTTTTTTCAATGTTGTATGTAGTTCTTTCCTCATACATAATTTACTTTATATTATAAATTTATCAATATTGTTTCAGTCCTTTGCTGAGTGTAAAGGAATTATGCTTAACAGGGGGAAAATTTTTTATGAAAAATTAATAAACGCGAGAGGAAAAATTGCTAAATTAGCATCCAACTTCATTACTGATGGATGTGTAAGTTTTAAGAAAAATCAAACATTTTTCATTATTACAAGTATTAAATTTAAAATGATTTCATATTTGTTCGATAGAAAATTCTAACACATTCAAAGTCGAGAGTTGTATTACAAGCAATGAAACAAGCTGCGGCTGACAATCGTAGTTTCCATGTATATGTAACACATTCAGCTCCTGATGTTAGTGGGTAAGTTTGCAAATTTTTATTCATCTTAAGTTTAATTATAGTAATATGAAAATTTTCTTATGAATTAGGATTGAAATGTATCAAAAATTGACGCAATTAGGAGTATCTTGTACGCTTATTCTTGATTCTGCAATGGGGTATGTAATGGAAAAAGTAGACATGGTGATGGTAGGAGCAGAAGGCGTAGTGGAAAGTGGTGGAGTTATTAATAAAATTGGTACATATACGTTGGCGATGTGTGCAAAAGAAATTAAAAAGCCTTTTTATGTTCTAACTGAAAGCTTTAAGTTTTCGAGAATTTATCCTTTGAATCAAATCGATCTTCCAGATAAATTTAAAGTAAGTAGAAATTGGTTTCTAACTTAATAATTCATTAGTAATTATAAGTGAATATACTAATGCATTGTATTATTTTTATTTAGTATACCTCAAGTACAAGGTCCAAAAATCTACAAAATGAACATCCTTTGGTTGATTATACACCTCCCCATTATATTAATTTATTATTTACGGATTTAGGGATATTAACACCTTCAGCAGTGAGTGATGAACTTATTAAGCTTTATTTATAAATTTTTATATCATAAATAAAATTTGTATATACTTACAAAAATTTAAATTGTTTCGTTTTATACTATATATCTGTTATTATATAGAATCACTAATATTATTATTATTAATATTATTATTACATGAATTATATATATTTCTAAAGAATAATATGATATATTTTATGAAAACAGCTACCACAGAAAATGAAAGAAATATTAATATTCTCTATAAAATTAGATACACTAATAACTGCTTTAACAGTTACGTACGAATGTAAAAACAAAAAAAAATTTATAATTCATTAAATTGTTTACCAACATTATCAGACTGGACAAAAAATACATCTGCACAATTCTATGTTATTCTACTAAAAGTTGAATAATTTTCAGTTATTCACTGGTACAATTATAATTTTTATCCATTATGAGAAATGATTGTAGGGACATTATTAAAATATGTTACAAATGTCCAATGAATAATTTGATTCTGACAATTTTCTTTGATTTTAACAAAATTGCACATAGTCTCTTCATTTTATTGCAAAAGTATTATTAAAAATAATAGAAGTAATTATGCAGTTTGGCCTCCTCACTTCCGATGACCTTGAAATTTCAACATATTGTAGAGGCAATTTTGCTGATTAATTTTATATATGTATGTTGAGATTGTAAACGTCATCTTTACATAGGTTTTTAACTTTGAAACTCTGTAGAATAATGTGTATTTAACTGATCCTTATTATTAGTTTTTCTTAATTAACTTAATGTCTTTATTTTATTTTTCAATGCATAAGGAAGTTGCAAGTAGGAGCGTGGAGGGACAGTGTTACAAAACTGGTCGAATTATCATTTTTTAGACAACTTTTAAACACCCTCTTCCCTCTTATACTCACCATTTAATTTATACATTCTTTAAAATAAAAAAACTATGTGAAGATGACGTTTCCGTGCCCAACATATATATATATATATATTCTTGGTCAGCATAAGAAACGGTACAACATACTAAAATTTCAGTCATCGGAGGAGAGAGAGGGGATTAAATTGCATCGTTACCTATGATATTCAGAAAAAAATATCATTTTCAGTATAGAATGTAATACAATTATTAAACAATTTATACCGAAATATAAGTTTGGCAAAGTGTTTCAATAACAGTATAAATTTGGTCAAAGTGCGGTCTTTTTTCTGGTTCATACTCCCAACACCGAAGCATCAAACGGTAAATTTCATCAGGTGTTCCGTCAGGGGCAGGCAATCTGTAGCCTTGGATAGAAAAGATTTTTATTAATCAACAAAAAGTGTAGAATGTTTTCTTCAACTGTTATTTCAAACGATTTTTCAAAGATTACCTGCGTCTATTTTTTCTCGTGCTTGAGAGTTTGACATTCCACTATAAGGATTTCCACCTTTGGAAAAAATTTCCCACATCAATACTCCATAACTCCAAACATCACAAAGAGAAGTATATTTTCCTGTTAATGTTTTGAATATTTAAAAAAAACATAATTTAAATCTATGATTAAATCAAAAATAAATTTAATTACATAAACCCAGAATGATATTATCATCATCAAAGTATGTTCAAGTTACCGAAATTGAGAGCTTCCGGAGCTGTCCACTTGATAGGAATTTGTTTCATTCCATCCGAAACAATATATTCTTCTTCTTCTCGGGACATTCCAAAATCAGATATTTTAACTGTACAATCATAACCAACCAAACAATTTCTTGCCGCTAAATCACGATGAATACAAAATTTAGATTCTAAATAGCTCATTCCAGCTGCTGCATCTTTACACATTTGAAATTGTTCTTTTTGTGTAATCGTAGCTACATTTTTTCTCAAATAAGTTAATAAAGAACCTCCAGGAACAAGTTCCATAACAATCATTATGGGCTGTTTTTGCACACAAATACCAATCAATTTAACAATATTTGGATGATCATATTGTTTCAATATTCGACCTTCTTGTAAAAATTTCCTTTTTTGTTCATCAGGAAGAGTTACTTTACATGTTTTTACAGCTACTTCACTTTTACAAGGCTTCAATTGAGCTTTATATACGTCTCCAAAATTACCCTATATCATTAATAATACATATTGTAGAAGATTGTCTTTCGTACAAGTGTTTATTTTATTTTTAAATACTTACACGTCCTATTTTCTCTAAGAGAATTACATCATCATTATTTAATTCCCATCGTTCACGCAGAATTGGTGTTTTCAAAATAGCACCAGATCGACTAGTTACTGGTAATCCTGATTTCCATTGATGCATTATTAATTCTGGAATTGATGGAAATGTGGGTCCTTCGAATCTATAATAACCCTAAATGATAGAAAAACAATCTATACTCATAAATATACATCTATATATTATTAATATAAAAAAAAATTGTATGAATTTTTCATAATTTTTTTCATTCACCTAAATAATCTAGACATTTAACTAATTTCTTTATTAATTTTAGTTTATTAAAAAAAAATTTGCAAACTCATTGCAATATTTTAAATTATATTTTGTTAAAATAAATATTGATCCATCAAGTAATAAGACTTTTGATATAAAAGTTAAGAGTTAATTTAATTGTAATCTGAATTTCAACATTCGATATATGTATTCAATTCATAAATTCTGTGTGTAAGTAAAATATAAGTTCAACAAATTTTTTAAGTAATTTATTACCTCAGGAGTAGTTTGAACTATAAAATGTTTATGACTATCCCAGCAGACAGATAAAACAATTTGGCATTCGTCGTTTCGCATTGTTTCACGAACTAAAAAATCACCTTCTGATACAAGAAGTCTCACAACTTCTTCCCGAGGAAGTACTCCGTGAAACCATTCTTCATCCATTAATCCTCCATTTCCTTTTTGGTTACTATTATTGGAATTATTTATTTCACAAGGACTCTAAACATTATTTATAAAAATAAAATAGTTTTATTAGTAATTGAAAAAATTTAGTTATTATAACTTTTATTACAATTATTGTTAATCCACATTTTAATTTCGACGATGAAAAGAGAAAAACGTTTGGCGTGGAGAAAAAACTTCTTTTAGTAGGAAAAATCATTATACAATGTTAAATGTTTATCAAAATTTCGTGCAATTAGGAACATACTGAATTAAGAATTTGAATCGGTTTGACAGACGATCCCACGCTGTTTGCACGAATGACATCATTTTTATTATCATTCATTGATGGCAAAGATTTAAATGGACTTTTTATCAATGTCATAAATCGTTGATTTCGTCTCAGTGTAAACATACCGTAATGCGCAACTGTGTTTTTCTGTAACGTTTAAGTTATTCTTCCATTCTACCAAGTTCTCAAAATCCTAGTATATAATAAACGACTACCATAGAGAAATATTGTTTTAATTAGTAGTTTAGTTTACCTTAATTGGTAAAGATGGTTCTGCAAACGATCCTTCCATGGAAAGATCACATCCTGACGGCAGTTCTTCACACCCTAATTCATTTAATGCTCCTCGAATCACTTCTACTTGTCGCTGTAACTTTTTCTCTTGACATCTTAATCGTAATTCTTCTCTTTCTTTTGAATAATCTGAAATCGTCATCCTATAAATAATTGGTAATTCAATTAATTCATAGCAATAATTTCATATATTTAGTTTAAGAGTATCGTTAGAATAATTTAGATACCTAAGATCACAATTATTTTCTGGTGATACCTGTGCAGCTTGTCGACTTTGCTGTGTTACTTTAAGAGAACTTTCGAGTTCATTTAATCGGCTGCGTAACCAATCTATTGTTAAATTATCTACAGTCAATTTATTAGGCAATAATTTTCCTGAAGTATCATCAACTAAATTTTCATCAAAATTGAATCGTAGAGGAGATATTGGACGTGTTCTAATGTCAGTTGAAACATAATATAATAAAATAAAAAGAAATAATAGTAAAGCAATTAAAAAAGAAGATAAAAAAAATTATACCTATGTTTTCCAATAAACTCTTTATATTCTTCAAGTGGTTTTATAGAATCTACGGCAGCCTTTACTTGCGCATGAATTTCTAAAAATTTTTCCGAAGTAAAGTCAGAGTACTTGACAGTATCTTGTAAAATTCGTTTCCTATAAATTATAATAAAAATAATCATACGATCAGATGACTATAAATATAAGAATAAGAAAATGATTAACTGGTAAAATAATAAACATAGTTTTTTAATTTTACCTTTTCTATTTTGGATTGCATGTAAATAGTAAACTTACTTTTAATCAAAATTCAATATAAACTTTTATTTTTATTCTGTTATTTTTTAAAATATTATTTTTCGACTTATTCTGATAGATCGGAAAAAATTTTTGTTTCTTACCAAACTACAATGAATTCTTCATGAATAGTTTGTTGTCGGCGTAAAAGACTTGGCAAATAACAAGTCTTCAAATCATGTTCACATTCAGCTACTGCTCCAAGTAAAAGTACGTATTCATTATGGGTAAGATGGAGTTTTCGACAAGCTTTCTGGTATTTTTCTCGAACATCATCTAATTTTCTTCCTCCTCTTCCAGCTATAAATTCATATATAAAAATGAAAATTAAATTTTTATCATTGTTTTTTGTTAATATTCAGCAAATTATCTCAAAACACTTACACTTAACATAATGTTCTTCAAACCTAGATCTAGCTAATTTATACACTTCTAAATTTTTTTGATATTCTGCTTTTTTTCTTGCTACATCATCACTTAACTGTAAAAATAAAATATGATATAAGATATACTAAATTTTATTGATTCTTCATGAAAAAGATGCATAGAAACAATTCATCAACAATACCTGCTGAAACTGATTATTAAGCCATGCTTGTTCTTCTTGATAAAGTTTTTTTGCTCTCCGTCGATCAGCATAAAGACTAGCAATTTGTTCTATCACGTCATTTTCCATAGAGTCTGCTTGTTGTTTAATTAATTTAGCAGTCTGATCAATTGAATCCATAATATCCCGCCAGCTCTTTAATTTATTATCAATAATAAAATTTAATATTCAATTATAATCAAATCATTTTTAATATTAAATTTACCTGTGTTATTAAGCTGCCAGTTAAATCATCCAGTCTTTCAACTTTTTTTCCTTGAATACTTAAAGATGAAATGGTTGAAGCATAGTCACGATCAGATTTCACTTTGATTGTGAGACACCTTTTCATTGTTTCCAAAAGTTTTATTTCAGCATCTTGTCTTCCAAGCAAAGCTTCATGAGAAGCTTGCCCTTGTAGACTCGTAGAGAATCCCATAATCTATTTTCTTTATCAAGAATTCACTTGATATTCAATGTTGCTTTAATTAAAAACGGTAACGTGATCAGATTTAACTCATGCCTATAAATCTGCTGTAATCTGACGTGAGCACTTTAAATAGGAGACAGTCTCCCACGATGCAGTAACAAACATTTCATTTTGTGCTAAATTATTTATTTATATTATGCATATATTTTTTTCAAATTTATTAATATACTTATAATCACACTTTTCATCAATTTTATATATCTTGAATGCTAAGATATCATTTATTTACGTTCACATTTACTAGAAACTTATTGATTTGATGAAAATCTTACCCACCTTAAGGAAATACCGCCACAACCATATATACCGAAATAACAGATGTTACAAGTGATATGAAGTGAAAGTAAAATACAAGTTAAATTCAGTTGTGCTGCTCTCTGTTGTTAACAAAAAAAAATGCATTGCACGTGTCTTCATTTTCCGCTGTTGCTATTATTATTGTATTTATGTTTATTATGAAAGAATTTTCCTATATTATAAGGACCTCTGAATGCATACAGAATATTCAAAATATTTTCCTCTTAGAAAACAGGTTTGATGAGATTTAGAAATTCATAGGAAAAGATCATCTTTGAATTCAGAAATGCTTTCCTCTCCATGTCGTAATTGTATAGGAACTACATTGTACAATAACAGTTATCTCCTTTTTGTAAATCTTACATTTTATTGCAACAATTAACAAAAAAACATAGTTAAAAATAATCATTTACGAGGTAAAATTAATTATTATTTTTTCACAATATGTAGTATAATTATTGTTAAATTATAATAATAATAAATTATGATATTTTTAATAATAAAAATTAATTCATAAACTTCAAAAATGTATGAGTAATGTATAAATGAATAAAAAAAATTGTCATTCAAGTCAATTTAAAAAGTGTGAAGAATAGAACGAGCAAAATTTGACCGTAAGAGGCGCTTTAAGCGGTGTAGAACCGAGAACTTGATCAAAACTTTTTAGAATTACTGTTGAGGAGAGTAGTCTTTGCAAGTATATAGTCGTATGTCGACATTAGATGGAATTATATTAGGAACTAACAAGTTCATGAAAATTAAAATTACGAAAACAAAACGAGTGACTTTAGTGAAGAAAGTGTGTTGTCGAACAATGACTTTTAGTAAAAAAGTGCTTTGAAAGGTTTCTATTGCATATTTATTCGATATTACTCAAACATTCAGTCAAATAATAGAAAAATGATGAACTTTTTATAATCCTGTTGTCCGGGTGATTTTCTTTAGTTTTCTCCGTCATCGATAACTTAACTCGTAACGTACCTTAATAAATTAATTACCTTTTTTTGTTTTAAATTAATTATCAATTATACAATCATCGCTATTTCCATTTATTATAAAATTGGATGGTTTAAATTTTTTTTGAGAAACAATATGAAGTCTGTATGTCCACTTTACGGAAAAAACGACTAAGAGAACAAATCTAAAATCGATCCGGCATAGTGGTGCATTATTGTTGTCATGATCCGGCGTTAGCTCCAATTACTTTCTAACTGTATCGTACATCATTCTTTTGAGTTATTTACGAAAAGAGAATAATTAACAATAATAATAAAAATTTAATTCCTAAATGATATTCTCAAAATTTTTGTTAATAATGAATTTGATGAAAAAATTTCTTGTTGATTGATTATACATAAATATTTTTCTGTTAAAAATTTTAAATAATAATTTTTATTATATTGGGTAAATTACATTTAAAAAAAACTCATGAAATTATTTTATACTGCTTTAAAAGAAATGTCGATTAATCGGGTGCGGTTTCTTTCAAGGTTTCTCATTCGCAGATTTATTTTGAGCTAAGTTTCATTTTTATCATGTACGAAATTCCAATCAGAAAACGTAATGCACGCATTTAAGTAAAACTAGAGAATAATTGAAAGATATTTTTTTAAGTACATAAAATGGAATAAAATATGACTATATTTGTGAAAACTAAATAAATTAGAAGATTATTACTTTGAATAGACTTTAATCGGCTGCGATGCAGTGAATTGTTTTCCTTTTTGCGCATAAGTCTACATTTCGAAATTTAGAAGTTGAAATATTTCTATTCGATATTAAATTTTGAGTTTTTGTAAGTTAATTCCATACTTAAGAGGTGTCTTAATAAATTAATTACTTACGACAATCCAAAATTCACTGTTGATCAGAAATATTTTTTCTCCGAAACGTAGACTTGTCATTTTTTGTACTTATATTTAGTGAAAAAAATTACATAAATACATAATATTTTGTGTACAATACAAAAATGTAATACTAAATAAATCAAATATGCCTGAATTTTCTCACCCTTAAAATTACAAAGAATATTTTTTGTTTTAATTTTTTGAAGAATAAAATTTGGAAATGAATACAGTTTTTAAACATTTTAAAACGTACTCGAATTAAACAAGCTCAAATTAAATTATATTATTTTTTGTTATCATTGGTGATTGATTTGAACCATTTATTCATATTATTTCTAATGATTTATTAAACCATGTTTTAGGTAATTTCGTATCGAAAATTGAAAAACATAAAGAGTGTAATCATGAGAACAAAATTATAAGTGGAAGGATCTAGACTAATCAAAGATAGACATTATAGCAACAAATATAAAAAACTGGAAAGATCACTAGAATATTTTAAAAACAAAGTGGCTTGTGTTAGAGAAATAGTTTTTTTCAGCTTAGTAAATTTCTGAGGGTGGGTAAAAATAAGATTCCAGGATGACGGGTGTCGAAGAAAGGAAAGGTGGTGGCGAGGGTGAAAACAACGATCTGAGCGCCACTGATGATGTACAACAAAATGGTACTACAGAAAAAGCTCCTGTTGTTACTGGAACAAATATGGAAACTCTTCCACGTTCTGGAAAACAGGTTAGTGATTTCAGGTTTATACTATACGTCTAATTATTTACGATTAACTTCATTATGAAATAATTCATACTTTAGAGATATTATTTCATAAATTATCACTCAATAATATAAAACAACTTAATTATATTTTGTTAAGTTGAACTCTGTAAAAAAAATGCTGTCAACTTTATATGAACATGAGTTACAAGTCTAACATTTAATTCAGTATGAAATTCTCTTAAAAACGTGCGTATGAATATTGATCGTACGCACAACCAAACAAAATAAAAAATATAGCAGCTGTTCCTTGAAATAATAAAACCTTTATGAGACTGGAAGAGACAAAAAAGAAGAAAAAATAGTTTTTCACATAATATTATTTTGATCTGCAGCATTTACTTTTATTGACCTAACATAAGTCTTGAATAATTAATTAAAAGAATGAATTATCTTGGAATAGATTCGTTTTTTAATATAATAATTTATATTTGAAGTATTGTTTTAAAGTATCAATCAACGATTTATTCTATAAGTGTTTTTAATTTACAGAATATATTTAAAATAGGATACCATTTTATTACAAGTATTTTGTTGAAAATTCAATAGATTAAATTATTTTTCGTTCAATTGAAGTCAACATAATGACTACTAATATATTAAAAAAAAATAACGAAATTGGTTGTTCAAGTAATGACGAGGGTCTATTAGCCCTGCATGTCTTTCATTCTTGTTATTTTGTAATTTTATACTTACAATTAATTTTTAAACAAAAGACCATCTCCCTAGTAGCTAAATAAATGTAAGACTGACGGCAGACTTATGTCATTGTTCTGAAGCAGACAGACGTAAGATTTTCGTCAGGAAATTTAATGTCAGAAATAAATGGCAATGTAATTTAGAAAAGAAATAGACGGACATAAGTTGGACAAAAATTCTAACGTCAGAGCTGAGTATGAGGGCAAGTGACAATTATTCACAGATGAAGGATAATTTTCGGTTCGATGTGTTTCAACATTATAGGGAGTAATCATGTGAGTTCGTAATTACATGCGTTACTACACTACAATATAATAAAGTACCTTTGAGACCTTTTATTTTCTCCTCATTTATCGACCATTTTGTAATTTAATGTATTTTTATTTTCAATATAATTCTTTTATGTGCATTAAATATATTCAGTTGGTTTAAAGTAAATTTAGACTTTTACAATAAATATATTAATAAGTTTTATAACTATCTATTTTCATATTATTAAAAAGTTTAAATTTCTATCATTAAAGTGTGCATATTTTATGGAAAATTTAGTGAAATAATGATAGAATGTCCGATTTTCAGATAGGCCACAAGCAAGGTCATTGCACTTCACGCTTCGTTGTCTCTTCTTGTCTTGAGAAAATTTCAATGTACCCCCTGTGGAGCAAAGAGATGCCCTTTATTTATTCTACATCGTATGCGTGTTAAAGGGTCGTTGAACTCAGTACATATTATTTTCCCTCTCAGATTTATAAACTCTCTTGGGATGGAAAAAAAATTGACGTGAAAAAAGTGCTCTTTGAAGTAAACAGATACACCAAGAGCCGATGAAATTGCACAAAGAGTGCGTTTCCATTTAAGTTAAGTCTACACTTTTTTTTCATGAGAATAAGCAACTTTCATCCCCTTTTCTATTACACTTTAACTTACCCTCAAAAATGTTTCAAATATCTTATTCATTTTTTTTCTAATTGTCAATTTTTTTCCTATTATTTGAATTCGTGTTTTCAAAAATTTGTTTTCAGTGGAAGTATACATAGCAGTTATACACATGTAATAATTTTTCATTACAGTAGCTTCTTCCACTTATGTACTATTCCATTTAAAAACAAGTGATAAGCAATTTTTTAATTTTACTTTTATGAAAATTGCTTTGCAGCCAACATTAGTGGAAAACCTATTGTATACAGATAACCTACGTGAGTATGTTATATGTCTTTAATGCATTGTACTGCATATCATATGAACTTTTTGTTGTAGTTCACATGTTGTAGAATATGTATCTATAAACTATGATTAATATTGAGGCGTTTCAAAAACAAAAATAATGACTTCTTTAGTGGTTAAACATGTCTCTCGTTTTTCAAAAAACATAAACCACTAAATTGAGTTTAATAAGAACATACATTATGTGTCTGTGAGAATCTGGCTGAAAGGAGCAAAATGTTGAAACAAGGATGTTTGAGTGGTACAGTGAAATACGTTCGCTAAAAACAGTCAAAATTTTTTGATCATTAATCATCAACAAAGAAAAACACAAAATAAAGTTAAAATGAATTTTAGTACATTGTTATTAAAATTAGATACATAACATATTTTTCAACTGTTTGATACCAGAAATAAATTTTATTCTGCGTGAACAGAAAATAGTCTATTTCGTATGATGGGAGTAAAACATGGTATTTTTTTCCACGAGAAAAATGTTAGTAAAGTAAAATCTAACCAAAAACAGCGCTTTAGCATGAAAGACGAAGACGATAACCATCGTTCATAAAACACTATTATCATAAAACTATATCATTCAAAATAATACAAAACGTTCTTAGATCATTAAGGGCCAAGTATTCTAATTTCTAAATGTATTATGTTCATTAAGATTCAATTAATTATTTATTCTTACAAAAATTATGTACTTTGCTACATATAACAAAGATAATTGTAGATAGGGAAACATTTTTTTAAAAAATACATTTACATAAAAATCAATAAGCAAACGTAAATCAAGTTAAAAATTAAAAAATACGAAAACGATCACATCGAAACAAATTTAGTAATTTTGATTGTAATTTATTCACAAAAAACTTGACGTCACTATTACGTTCTTCCCTCTATCAAAATACTACTTTTTTGTAAACTTTAATCATATTTGTGGCCAAGCTGGGATACACTCCCCCAACATTCCATTACTTTTGTTCTATCTCTTATTACTGTTCTCAGGATATGAGTAATTTTTTGAACAAAAACTTATTTACATTTGTAATTTGGTACCTCAGTAATTCCTTCGTTTTTGACCAACATAATTATTTCCATAGTCATGCAGCAACTTCATAGTAGTACCAACTTTATAAAAAAAAGTCATATTGTTGAGGAAAAAGATTCTTTTTACTTAAAGTGCTGTCCAAGGGGCGTGGCCAACTTTTATTTTCTTAAATGAATGATTTTTAGGACACAATAACGATCGCAATTTATTTTCGTAATTAATTAATGGGTTTTTCAAATATTTTTCAATAAAGTTTATCTCATTATTGCAGGGAAATCAGGAATTTTAAAAAGCATAACCTCAAAAGAGCTGATTCGAGCAGAGTAGAGACATGGTAGTGCCTTCGTCACCGTTATTCATACTTGGCGCTCGAGACACCCCTCGCGGTTTCTATGAACTGAAAAAAAGGTTAAATTACGGTTAAATAATCGAACCGAATTTCAACCGTTTTCAACTGAAATTGCAGCCCCCAGAAACTGCGAGGGACTATTACAATAAACGTGTTTCTTAATCGAAGTTTACGTAAGGGTATGCCAAAGAATATATTAAACAACTTTTTATTTTGGTCAAGTGTACAAAATCTCATTTATGAAAAGAAAATGGGACATTCACTATGTTCAGTTCAGATATTCTGAGCCATTGTTTATTCCATGGTCATTTCACACTATATCCCTTGTTGCATAAAAATGATGTTTGTAAAATAATTTATATTAACTGAATACTCGTAATATTTGAAACAAGTAACACTGTAAATCCGGAAATATTTAAGTGTTCCCTAATAGTTAGCTCTGACATAAGAATTTTCGTTAGACTAAGGTTCGTCTGTTTCTTGTTTTAGTCAGATTACCATTTATTTTTGACGTTAAACTTCCTCACGAAAATCTTACGATTGTCTGCTTCAGAAACACGACAACACATACGTTAATGACAAACATGGGTGGACATACGTAAGTCTGCTGTTAATCTTGCGTTGATTTGGCTAATGGGATTTAATAATTAAATACCAAAGTGTTTACAATGGTGAATGCCTTAAACAAACTATAGCACTTTTATAAACGGCTAGAAACGTTTAAAATTTTTCTACAAAACTTCTATAGTTCGTTTATGACAGATATACAAGTAGATAAATTTTGTTTTTTAATATTTTCATGGGCAAAGTAAGCGTTGCGTAGTATAAAATCAGTATTAGTCGGTGTGCCTTTTGAAGTGGGGTAGCCAAGATGGATGCAGAGTCGTGGGTCGATACGAATGTGGTCATGCTAACACTGCAAGCTCTCATCTACCCTACAATCAGGTTTATCCTTGTTAGACCACCTCCACACAGCTTTTCATGCTCTCATGTCAGGGACATATAGCTCACTTTGCCTTGCCTGCTATAATGCCGTTATCGACAATCAAATAGGGATTTAAAATTAAATTTATGTCATTATCATTTATATATATATATATATATATAATTATTCTAATGGCCATATGCGATTTTAGTTACACATTTTTTGAAAATCAGTACAATTTTTTTACTGAATTAATTCAACTTTGGTAATTTGTTCAGTAAATTTATGAAATTGAAATTTGAAATTCTGATTTTTATTGTATTAATACAAAAATTCAATTAGTCATACTGCAAATCCGGAAAAATCAAGTGTTTAGTGATAGATCACTTAAGATGTTTAATAATTAAACATATATGTGTTTACAATGTTGTGAACCATAAGCTAATTATAGTATTTTGGTAAACGACAAAAAGCATTTAAAAGTCGACGATAAAATTGTCATAGTTCGTTTACGATGTTTCACGTTAAAAACACTTCAAATGTTCAATTTCTAAACACTTGGGTTTGCAGTGCAACTCGTACTAAAAGATAAATTATTATCTAATGAAAACAACTTGAATAAACCGTTGATTTAGTTTAAAAGAAAATAAAAAAAGATAATAAGTCTTGTGATAAAATACTGTTTTTTGTAATGTAAGTGCTAACCTAGATAGCTGAGAGCTAAATAGAAAGAT